AAAAAAAAAAAAAAAAAAAAAAAAAAAAAAAAGTTGCGCTCCTTGCGGAGGCTTGATCGCTACAAAGGGAGGCGTTTCTTTTCCGTAGCAGCTGGTGAGCCTTGAGGCAGATCGTCCAAGGGGAGAGAAGAGGACACAAAAAGAAGAAGAAGCCAAAGCTGAGGCCAGGAGCGGCACGCAGCTCACAGTACGTGCAAGCGAACTCGTTCCACGCGCACGCCAAGGCGCGTCGTTGATTGTGTGTGTGTGTGTGTGTGTGTGTGTGTGTGTGAGAGAGAGAGAGAGAGAGAGAGAGGAGAGAGAGAGAATGGTTTCGGCGACGACAGACTTGTGTGATGGGAACGAGGGGAAGTTAGCAGCGGGTGAGGTGCGGGTATTAGCGCCTGTGTTCTTGAAGGATGTAGGAGGAGCACGGTCGTTCTGGGGAAAGGTGGTGACTGTGCAGGTGTTTGAGGACAACGTGAAAGTGCGCGAGCTGCTGGAGAAGGAGGACGATGGGAAACAAAAAGTGTTGGTTGTTGACGGCGGAGGGAGCTTGCGCTGCGCTTTGCTGGGCGGAAACCTCGCGGCGCTGGCGGAGAAGAACGGATGGTCAGGAATCATCGTCAACGGCTGCGTGCGCGACGTCGGCGAGATCAATGGTTGCAACGTGGGAGTGAGAGCGCTGGCAGCCCATCCTCGCAAGAGCAATAAGAGAGGACACGGACAAGTCAACGTGCCTGTGTCATTCGCAGGCGTTAGAATCTGTCCTGGAGAATGGTGTTACGCCGATGCTGACGGAATAATCGTCTCTGCTACCCCTCTTCACTAGCCTCTCTCTCTCTCTCTCTCTCTCTCTCTCTCTCTCTCTCTCTCTCTCTCTCTCTCTCTCTCTCTCTCTCTCTCTCGTTCTCTCTCTCAGAGTTGGCATGCACACGCACCTGTGATCCCTTTCTGCCTCTCTCTATAAACACTCCACCTCCATGTCTACGTGCCGCCCCCTCCCTCCCTCCCTCCCTCCGTCGATCCTTGCGTCAGTAGATCTGTATGTAACCTCCCTCTTAACTTGCAATTTTGCCCCTCCTTCCGGGAAGAATGTTGCAGGGATACTTCCCTGCAGCTGGGAAGTTTATTATTGGGTTGTATGCCCCCAATCCGTTCGTCGTAGCTAGCCGAAACGTTCGTTCGCTCTTTCGGTCAGAATTTTTTTTTTTTTTTTTTTTTTGTTGTTTGTTCTTTTTCCCTCGGGACTTCTCAGTTGCTGCTTGCTCCTCTCACGATCGATGCTCATTGTGTAATCCCATCCATGCCCTCCAAGGACATTTCTAATCACACATAATTACAACCCGCTCTCCATCCCCATCCCTCCACCTCCACCTCCACCTCCATCTCTCCATCTCCATCCCTCCACCTCTTTCCCTCCTCCTCTCTCTCCCACGGCCATCATCTTATCGCGAGTTCCCATCTCCCCCAGGCCAGAAGGTTTTTTTTTTGGGCCGGGCTTTTCAGTTCTACCTTGCTCTTTTGGGACAGGGAAATACGAAGTTGGACGAATCTGCAAACCTTAGGAAATCTACTTTATACCACTTATTTTTATTTGTTTCTGGTTTCAAGTCTCTTTTTTTTTTTTTTTTTTTACACACTTTCATATGCGTATAGCTGGGAAACGGGCCCGGTGTCTCTGACATCCCTTACATCATTTGCTGCGGTCAAACGGGCTATGTAAGGCACTCCCGGCCAAACCTATCCCCACTCTGGTTATTTTATTAGTGGCCATGATTGGAGCTATGTTACTTGCCATGCATAAGACTACTCGACGTAAAAAGACAAGATGTTTTTCAACAAAATATGAATAAATTTTCAGTAAAATATGTTCAAAAAATTACGGCCATCATAGAAAGGTCTCTAGAAAAAAAAAGAAAGAAAGAAAAAAAAAAAAGGTCTCTAGCAGCTCAGTGGTTAGAGCAAATGGCTGTTATGAGTTTTTTTTTTTTTTTTTTTTTAAGGAGGGGAGCTTTTCAATGACAGGCTGGGAAACGGGTCCAACGTCCCTCACATACATCAATAACCGCGGCCCACAGGGAATTTAAAAGTATGACTTGCCTTTGCCAGCTCTTTATAGATAAGTCCTCGAGTCACACTGCTGGCTCCCAGCCCGTAGTAAAGAGACATCTTCTCATCTATTTGCACTCTGTCTGCACACTGCGTACAGTTAGAAAGCCAACTCATACTCCTTCAACTATGTATTCATCATTAAAAAAAAAAAAAAAAAA